CAATCAATTGAATGGAATTCATCACTCTACATCAACTTTATTGACTACGAAAAGGCATTCGATAGCGTGGACAGACCAACACTATGGAAACTTCTTCGACACTACGGCGTGCCTCAGAAGATAGTCAATATCATACAGAACTCATATGATGGATTACACTGCAAAATCGTGCATGGAGGACAGTTGACAGACTCGTTAGAAGTAAAAACCGGTGTTAGGCAAGGTTACTTACTCTCACCCTTTCTCTTTCTCCTGGTGATCGACTGGATCATGAAGACGTCAACGTCTGAAGGGAAACACGGGATACAATGGACATCTAAGATGCAGTTGGATGATCTAGACTTCGCAGACGATCTGGCCCTTCTATCCCAAACGCAACAACAGATGCAGGAGAAGACGAACAGTGTAGCAGCAGCCTCGGTAGCAGTAGGTCTCAATATACACAAAGGGAAAAGCAGGATTCTCCGATACAACACAGAATGCACCAATCCAATCACACTTGACGGAGAAGATTTTGAAGATGTAAAAACCTTTACATATTTGGGCAGCATCATTGATAAACACGGCAGATCTGATGCGGATGTGAAGGCGCGGACCAGCAAAGCAAGAGCAGCACATTTAAAACTGAGGAACATCTGGAACTCAAAGCAACTGTCAACCAACACCAAGGTCAGGATTTTCAATACAAATGTCAAGACAGTTCTACTGTATGGAGCGTAAACCTGGAGAACTACGAAAGCCATCATGCAGAAGATACAGGTGTTTATTAACAGTTGTCAACGCAAACTACTTCAGATCCATTGGCCGGACACTATTAGCAACAACGTACTGTGGGAGAGAACAAACCAGATCCCAGCGGAGGAAGAAATCAGAAAGAAGCGCTGGAAGTGGATATAACACACATTGAGGAAAGCACCCAACTGCGTCACAAGACAAGTCCTCACATGGAATCCTGAAGGTCAAAGGAGAAGAGGAAGACCAAAGAACACATTACGCCGAGAAATGGAGATAGACATGAGAAAAATGAACAAGAATTGGATGGAACTAGAAAAGAAGGCCCAGAACAGAGTGGGTTGGAGAATGCTGGTCGGTGGCCTATGCTCCATTGGGAGTAACAGGCGTAAGTAAGTAAGTAAGTAAGTAAATATAATCGATGTTAGATGGTTGAAGGTAGTCGAGAGAAAATTGTGGAACTAGGTTTCATGTTATACGGGATTCGACAGTGTGACTTACCTCCAACCTTGAGGAAATTGATGCTTTCTGTTAGATTCGAATGAGAGACACTTATCTTTACAACCTGACATTTTATTACTCAGGTATCTAACCCTTAACTCTAATAATGACTATAATTGGAATATCACCGAGTTTATCAGGAGATACTCATCAACGATGCATGGTATCTAGTAGAGAATCTATGATCACAGTTTTCTTATGATTATTTGTAACCATCAAACATTAAAACAGTTTAACTGATCTCTAGACACGTAAACTAGTGATCATACTACAACTTGATTGATTGATTCTGATTAGCATTAAAAAGGACTCAATAAACATGACATATTCAATGGTAATATCAGAGTAACCATAGTTTTCTTATCAAATTACTAGTAAAGCAATCAAATTTCAAACTAATTAAGCGGATATTCGACCTTAATTATAACCCTATACATACGTACACAAGAAATTTTTCATATGTTGGTAACAATCCACACATCTAATATAGTTATCAAAAATATTACCAAAAATGCTAATGATCTGGATCAAATGTAGTAGTTCAAAGGGTAATGTACCAATAGTCAAGTTTAAGAAATGATCAGTTTGTCTAACAAGACTAGTTGTTAATACATATTTTGATTTCCCAGATCTGTTATACATTTCAAAGAATCTATATAATTGAAATAAAGAGCATCTCTTTTAAACTTGAAAGAAATGAAATTATATATAAGGAAACGGTGTATAAAGCATTCTAAGGAAAGATAGATAGTGGATAGCAGTGGTGGAATTCAGTTTGATGCACGTTTCGTCCTATTTTGGACTTGTCAGCTGGATGTACCTGCATCATAGAGTTGATGTTCACCTTGGGACTCGAACCAAGTACTTTTCACTTCAAATGTCATCGCGTTATCTACTTCGTTACTGAGTGCTGATAGATACTTGCTTGTGCAATCGGATGAAGTTTAAATTCACTCGGTATGACGAGTCCCAAAGAGGACGAAACGCGCGTCAAACTGGATTCCACTACTAGCCACTATCGATCTATGCTTTAAATGCTTGTGAATTTCGAGGGAAACCGTACAGTATGCACATATGCCAATAAGAAACTGATCAATCACAGTCTTAAACATCAATGGGAAGATTTAAACAAACAATACCAAGTGAATTTAGTGCATGAATTAATTTATTTATAATCTGTTAACAAAATTGATCATTGCTGAACGACAGTACCCAAATGGAATTGTAATTCACATTGATATCAGTAATAATAATAATAATAATAATAATCACTTTATTTCAAACTAGAAACGTTTTTATTCTTAGGAATTTTCGGCACTAATCATCCTATTCTACAATAACCCTTTTTTGTAAATACTTTGACTGTTAAAAAAGTCCAAAAAAATATAGCCCTTTAGTTATTTTCTAATGGTCATTGAACTTCAAGTGCTAAACTTTCCAACCAGTTCAGATGTTATAACTATTTTCTTCATCCACCATGTGCTACGTATGCATGAACATCGACTGCCACGGCGCGTAATGCCTACTGGTGTTGGGGATGGTTGGGAGAAAGTTAGGGGCGGCCAAACCAAAATGAGGAATCAGTCCATAAAGTCACCAACTTCTAGTCTATGCTGTGTTGGTAGATGCAGACTACTTGGTTGTGCTCCGCGTGACTATCGTAACCAACGGTTGGAGACTCTTGATGAAATAGCTCAGAATCAATCACAATGGCGTAGGTGTATACACTCTCTGTCTTCCATTAAACTAAGAGATTAAAATTGCTTTATATCTTTCTTTCTACCAACTAATTCTTTCTTCCTGTACTATATCCTTATACACAATCTTTCCTTTATATATTACCACCCCTGAATTAACTACTTTTATGAATTCGGTGTTTATCTTGTTACGTTAATGCGGTATGGCAACTTGAACCGATGCACATGTGTGCCTGCTCGTGCATTGTAGCTAACTGACTGACTGACTGACTCATCCATTTTACATTGGATAAATAAGTGTAGTCACCTCTCAATGAATCACTTAGTATACAAACAGGAAAATTTCCTAATAAGTGCAGTGCTTCTATAAGAGTTTTTCAATATTTAATATGTTGATAAGTTATAAGATTCTATTAAAACTGTATAACTGCATACCATTGAAAGTCGTATTTATTCAGTTAAAACAAAATCTACAACTGGAACATTTGTTGCAATATATTCATATCATTGGGAAATGGATGACTTAAACAGTTGTGAATGAGACACTAGTAGAATCATTGCTTTTATTTAATGTTACCACATAATAGTCAATAGTCAATTTATAGTCATCATTCTGATTGTTGTTAATGTTATTATTAGAATTTTATAGTTGAATCCATGAGTCAGTCAAAGCTAGATCACGATGAAAGACCTAGAAGTACTGGACGGCCATTTCGTCCTAGTATGGGACTCCTCAGCAGTGCTCATCCACGATCCTACACAAGGGATTCGAACCCAGAACCTATTAGTCTCGAGCGCGAATGCTTAACCTCTAGACCATTGAGTCGGTGTCCAATGATGTTAATGTCTAACTTCAACCAATCCACGGATTATTATTATTATTATTATTATTATTATTATTATTATTATTATTATTATTATTATTATTATTATTATAGTAGTAGTAGTAGTAGTAGTAGTAGTAGTAGTAGTAGTAGTAGTAACGGCAATATCATTATTATTCTTTGCAGTAGTGTAAATTACAATCTTTCTTTTTATCAAATGTTAAGTAGCAGTTGATATGAAATACAATAGTTAGATAAACATCTCTATACTTAATTCTTTATTCTGAATGGTCACTATAATGAATGTGCGTTCACATTTATACACTAGACACTAACTCACTACACTTGTATATTGTGATACAATGGAATTTATATACAATCACATAAACTTAAAGTTATTTCTATCCTCTCATAAATTAGAGGAACAAATGGATAACAAATTCTGTGGAGACAATATCTACAAGAGTGATAATACTACTAGTTGGCTACCTATCAAAAACCACAGTTACAATCAGAATAAAACTAACAGTAGGTAAAACCACACACACACACACACACACACACACACACACACACACACTCATATATGCATATTTACAGAAGAAATCTAGTCCAATGATAAATAACCACAGGGATGAAAGACTATTAACAACAACAAAAATAAGCGATGAGAATAAATAAAAAAAGAAAGGCAATTTATCATGTTAAACCAATAGAAAATGAATGAAAGAAGAAGAAGAATAAAAGAAAGAAAGAAAGAAATCTGTTTCCAACTATTACTACTCTCTATCTAATAGGAGAAAAAAAAACTAGGGTGGAGAGGATTCACCAGAACAGAAAAGAACCAACAACAAAAAGAAAGAAGAAGAAGAAGAAGAAGAAGAAAAGGGAACAGAAGAAGGCAATCTGTCAGAATGAACAAATATTCATCAATCCTACTATCTTTATTATTGAAGATTTGAAGAAACTGTGATGAAAGTATTATCACTTTCAGTATTGTGAATACTAACAATAATGATGATAATAATAACAATGACAACAATAACAACAACAACAACAAGAAGTCTACTCATGTCTATTCAGTAATTGAAAAGTAAATAAATAAAAGAAAAAAAGATGTAAGTCAACAACAAAATCCTGATACTGATATAACAACAGAGTCATTGCATAACAATGAACTGAATATAAATATACGTGTATCTATACTAGGTATATAGTCGCTAAGGCAAAGAAACTGATTTATCATATGAACAGAATGAATACTACTAGTACTACTAGTACTACTAGTACTACTACTACTACTACGAATCCATTAATATGGAATCAATTAATGCATTATATCACAAATCATAAACAACAACAAACCATCAATAATGATCATATGGATACAAATATACTTAATCATTCTTATTATCCATCTATGAATTCAATAGGAATTATATCAAAAGATTCATTATCATCAATTGATTATGATTATGTAAATAATAAAGAACAAATGAATACTGCAACTATGATGACAATGATTATGAATTCAGACTTGATGATGTCAATGTCTAATACAAAACAAAATACTGTGAGTAATAAACATAATAATAATCAACTGTTAACTTCACTTGCATCATCACCAATCACAACGAATACAACATCTACATCATTGTCACCAACGACTTCAGTTTATCATCATCATCATCAGTATTATCATCAAACATCTCCATCTTCTTCACCTCTTTCTCCTCTTCCATCACTTCATCATCAACATCGTTATCATCATAATCATAATCATTTACATGTTAAACGTCCAATGAATGCATTTATGGTATGGTCACGTGGTCAACGACGTAAAATGGCTCAAGCTAATCCAAAAATGCATAATTCTGAAATAAGTAAACGTTTAGGTATTGAATGGAAATTATTAACAGATAATGAAAAACGTCCATTTATTGATGAAGCTAAACGTTTAAGAGTGAATCATATGAAAGCATATCCAGATTATAAATATAGACCAAGAAGAAAACTAAAACATTCAAGAAAACAAGAAAAATTTACACAATCACAACCATCACTACCACAACAACCACCACCACCACTACCTATTCAAGGTAAGTAATGTAAATCAATAATACTAATGATATTGATGATGATAATGTTGTTTACAAAAGTAGTGGTTACTAATATCAATGAAACTACCATATTGATCAACTCTATACTCAAATGAATAATATCCGTTAGTGAAATCAATCAATATTAAGAAATACTAGAAAGTTGTTTTTGGTTACTTATCAATAAGGGGGCTGTGAAGATTATTGAGTTTTTGATTGAGATCATGGACCGATTAATGTTAGACTACCATTGTAAACCTGGAAACACTGAATGCCCGTTTCATCCTATTGCGGGACTCTTCAGCAGTGTTCATTCATGATCCTGCACGAGGGATTCGATTCATGTGAGCAGGATTTTAGGTTATTATTTGAAAAGTACTTTAATAATTTACTGCAGTAAACATAATAATAGCAACAGTACAACCAGAGAGAACTACAAATCAAATTCAGTCTCCGCAAAATAAGCTGCTAATCACTTACGCTTAATTATTTCCGAAGTTCGTTAATAAAGTCGTTTAAATGAGTATAGAGCCTTCACAAACTTCCTAAGCTAAGTATATTTACCATTGTGTATCAGAGATGTGAATTACATGTCAGTTTCCGACCACATTACTTTGTCTGATTACAGTCTTGTTGACAAACATGTCTTGTTCTTATTGAACATATCAACACTGAAGTCTGTTATATATATATATATATATATATATATATATATATATATATATATATATATATATATATATATATATATATAAATTAACCAAGTGAAATTCACTGACTTTTATTGTTCACTTGAAAGCTATTTGCTATCCATAGGGATTTATTCATTCTGTTCACTCGCTCTTTGGACTATAAGTATTGAACATTTCACTCATTAACTTGAGCATGACAATCATTGAAGACCATGGAGCACTGAATAGGAGTAATATTTCAGTATAATTCTCCCCAACAACAAACACACGTCATTCTGATGAAGGTACTTAGCATTCAGCAGTCTACATGTCAAAATAACATAGTCATCACAGATGGCATTGAATACTCGTCGTGAACTATAGTGAATGAACTAAATTTGAAAATGTTAATCACTTCATGTTAAAACACTGATCGAAATGTAGCTTACCGCTTAGCTTAAAGACTTTACATTCTCTTTCTGACAATGTTGTGGTTATGAACTGCTGAGAAGATCTATATCATCATGGAACAGCTATTCAGTGCTCCCAGGTTTTCAGTGACTATTCAGGTAAATTTAGATTGTGATTAAAGGCATCTTCAAACTGAATGATCTCTACAAACGATGAAAAAATTATATTATTACCAAGAAAATTTCGTAGAATAATTTGGTCATTGTATGGACAATCAATAAACATGAGTTGCAATATCTAATACTAAAACAAAATCTTTTCAATAAAGTGATCGATCTACTCAAAGTGTTTGGTAATTACTTACTTTACTTACTCATGCCTATTACTCCCGAAGAAGAATAGGCCGCCGATCAACATTCTCCAATCCACTCTGTCCTAGGCTTTCCTCTTTAGTTCTATCCAATTAGTATTCATTCTTCTCATGTCTGTCTCCATTTCTTGGCGTAATGTGTTCTTTGGTCTTCCTCTTCTCCTTTGACGTTGAGGATTCTATGTGAGGACTTGCGTTGTGATTCAGTTGAGCGCTTTCCTCAATATATATCCTATGTCACTTTCATCGCTTCTTCATGATTTCTTCCTTTACTGGGATCTGGTTTGTTATGGTATTATATGGATAAAGATGTTCAACAGGGAATTTTCAATCTGAAATTTCCACTTACTTCAAAGGTCGTTTTCATTTGAATTCGCTTAACTCATTCATTTGATGATGTGAATGTTATAAAACTCTTTTTTTATCCTAAATTCATTAAGTTGGTTAGTCAACTCTATCAAATTCAATATACATATACATGTATATTCAAGTACGATTAATATTTCAGTCAGGGATATCATTCTATGTGTCTATAGTATGCTGATTAACATCTTTTGACAACAATGTCATGCGCAATGATAGGTGATTTAATAGACTTTTTAGCATAATTATTGTCTAAAACATTATCTTCTGTTTGTTCAGTACTTGCATAATCTCTCATTTCAAATGTACATGAATGAATTACCAAATTATTCACTTGTATTTAAATAATTGAATTCATGAGTCAACTAAAGCTAGACCACCATGGAAAAACCTAGATGGAATGAACGACTGCCTCGTCCTAATATGAGACAATACAGCAGTGTGTATTCACGATCCTGTACGTGGGAGTCGAACCCAAGACCTGTCGGTTTTGCGCACGGACGCTTAACCTTTAGACCATTGGGCCGGCATTCGATAGTGTTAATGTTTAACTTTAATGAATTCACGAAATTGCGCCACCGTCCATCATTGTCTTTAGTGAGTTACTATCTCACAAAAGACCTCGTTAAACTTAACTGATCATGCATTCTCACTAGAACTTTAGGAAATACCTCTTAAAATCAGTCACTAGTGACCAGATTATGATTATTATCATAATAAGGTTTTGTGAAAATTCATACTAGGATGAATCGGCCCTCCAGTGCTTCCAGGTTATTCATGGTGGTCTAGCTTCAATCAATTCATGAATTCAACTATTAAATTACTAAAATCTCTATTAAACCTCCTTCTTTTAATTCGTCATCAATTAACGTCAATATGACAATCCGATGTGAGCAATAAACTAAATGATTAAAAGGAAATAACATCTGTGTAGTTCGATTAAGCTAAACTATTCTGAGTTATCTCATTTGTCAAAAGTTATTTGAACATTCCAGGAAAATTAGACGATTTAAACGTTTTAAACAAAAAAGCCTTGAAAACTGAATTTGACACAGTTTGTTAACTCATTAACTCTTAGTCATCATTTATGTATGAAAAGTTCAGAGAAGAAGAATGAATTTCAAGCTGTTTTGTGACAGTTTAAAATCTAGTGATGTAATCATTACATAGAACTTTAATGAAAGTCTTGAATTCTGCAGTCTTTCAACTGATGAAATCTATTTAAGAATAACATTCATGTATTACATTGTTTTTCAAAAAGACTGATTATTGACCTAAAACAGATTATACAACTATCAAATTTGATATACTACTGAAATGAACTAAAGTGTTATCTTTGGAGTTGTGTTTTAAAGACTTCATAATTCAAGTTGATGACATCTTAGTTAACCATCCTAATGTTCAACGAAACAAGATAAGGGTTAAAATAGTTGTGTGAATCCACTATATTTTACTTACACATTTATGTAGATATCGGTTAGTGACTGGAATTAATCCGATAACTATTTTACATCTTAATGTAGCATTCTTCATCAGTTGTGTACGCCGTCCAACACACACAGGATAAAGTTTTGGAAATTCCTATCTGACGGTTCGTATAACATTTATGGAGTTAGAATTCAATGATTCATCTGTTTTTATAGAGTCAAGTTAATTTCTGAGAAGGAATATGAGTATTATTGATAAAATAATAATAGTGTCATTGAACCTACGATACAATCGTAATTAGACAATGTTGAATACGTGGATGGTACTAAATATCCATTTCACTTTAGTATGGGACTCCTCAACAGTGGACATCCATGACCTCTTTCTGATTATTCGTTTGAAATGCAGTATTTAGACATTTTCTTAAAGTATCGATTAGTAGTGATGTAAACAGCATTCTTTTTTTCAACTGCACAATAAAATTCATCTTTTTCCGGACCCAATCCTTGCATAAATGTAAATCATTGTACATTTTATCATATAGGAATATTTCCTTAGGGTTTGAATTTGATTTTGATTTCATATCTGTACTGACTGCAACAGGCGTAAGTAAAGTAAAGTAAAGTAAGTAAGTAAGTAGGCAAAATTAGCAAATAATTAAGTACATAAGTAAAGCAAAGTTGTTAAGTAAGCAAAGTAAAGTAAGCAAGTATTCACCATAATGAACTAATTTACGAAAGTTGATTTCGTCTTCCATATCAATGTCATGTATTGGTGAAGTTAAATGACTTTCAATATTCTGCAACCTAGTGACTTTCGATATGTTGAATGTTATGGGTAAAAGAAATAGAAAAGTGGTAATATCGCTCATCTGTAAAATGAGATTACCTCTGGTTTATATTTAGCCAATAACTTAATGATGGAATTATGTAAATGTCAGAATAGATCATAGATTGAATATTGTTGAAAATGTCATTGATTAACTTCCAAATGATCGATCTAATGGTATCATCCTTACTGTAACAATATAAAAAATCTCTATGATAACTATGATCCTTTTTTAATAGTAGATATGTCTTTTATAATATCCTAATCAGTAAAAAATATATTTCTTTCCCGGTTATCTATTTACTCTGAAGAAGCATCTAGAATTAAATGACGAAACATCGTCAAAAATACAATTTTTGTACTCATAGAGATATGATTTTTAAAAATGTCTTTATTATTAACTTTCTAATCAATGGTCGACATAGACGAAATTATCAAGTTCAACCTTGGTATTTGATCCTTTCTTATTTATCAGAGATAACATTGATAAGAATAGGATTGTGAAGATGGTTGAGTTTTAATTAAGATCATGAATTGAGCACGATGTTGAAACATCATTAAAAATCTGAAAGTATTGAATGATCATTTCATCTTAGCATATTCTTCGATCTATTGTATTCTAATGTTGAGAATATTCGTAATTGAATATGTTCAGTTTATGTTAATTTGTTCAAATCTCTTGAAGACATAACATATACTATACATAATTCATCAGTAGTATACTGAATTCAAGACAAACAAACAGACATCTTATTATTAAAAGAAAGTGTTTTCCCACAAGATGGACATCTAGAGAACAGAAAGTTGTGTATGAAGTTGAAATTTATTTGATATCGTTTACTTGTATCTTCTCATTGTTGTTTATCAGTGTAATTGATCAGTCTCTTATTGCTATATATATATGCATTCTATGTAGACTGTCTCGAAAT